ATTACTCAGTATTATGTTGAAAATGTCTTTAAACAAGAGTTAGTGATAAAATCAACTTATGGCACAAGTTTTTCTATTTATTGTTGAACAGCGAAAATATTGTTTAAAGCAATTTAGAAAGAGTAATTTTACTTTTGAAAACCCGAAGAAAAAGTTATCAAGGATCAAAAGGATTTATTAAGCTATCAAAAACGAACTTTATACGTCCATTTGTAGTCTCGATGTTATTATAACATAAAATGTCTCATATATTTCGATTATATATCTCTATTGCCTCTGAAATGTATATTTCATACGGAAAAACAGTCAGATAGATGGATATCAAATCGGTTTTTAATGCTGATTTTGAATGTATATACTTAATGGGGTGGGAGATGTCTCCATACTTTATAAAATATATATAAATATTAATTCAGATTTTTGTTCTCCAAAGTCATTATATTTTACACCCTTAAAAGTTTTTATAACTTTAATAAGTGAAGAAATCATTTCCGACCCTATAAATCATATATATTCTGAATCAGCATCAACAGCCGAATCGATCTAGCCATCTTAAAAAAAAAAAAAATTCAAATTTTTGTTTACATTTTTTTAAGGGGTTAAATCGTTAAAATTGTGCAAAAAAATGACAAAAATGTTGAAACTTTTTTTTTTATAAATTTTATTTGCAAATTTATTAAACTTTTAAAAACTAGCACAGAAATGCTTTCCGATTTGAATTTGCTGCTTTTTTAATTGAGTTATGATGTTTTTAAACTTTGATTTGTCCTAAAAATTACCTATAAACATAGATTTAAAGAATGACATTATTTTAGGTATTTTTGAGTGCATTAAATGCCAGGCTAGCTAGTGATTGCCAAAAGTCATATATATTCTGATTCGTCATTAAAATCTTAATTAATTGCTTAAAAAATATTGAAATTAATGTTTCCTTAGCTAAGTTATAATAAATTTTAAACTCGATCCTTGAACCAATTGCAAGCTGCAAGAGTATATAAAGTTTTAGCTTACCGAAGTAAGCTTACATTTTGGTATTTTTCTAAAAGAAAAAGTGTTAAATATCTTTATGAAAATGATATAATTATAGAATCTATTGATAAGCATTAATAAATAGAATTTCCACAGTTTACGAACAGTACTTTGCAACTTTACAAAATCAATATTGCTTTGGCATTACTCCAATACTTCCTGGCCATCTCTAGCTTCATAGAAATTTAGCTTCGATTCCGATTTATGTGCTTTCAAAACTGAAAACAAAAGGCTTTTCCGGGAATCAATGGCAGAGCAGGAGCAGGAGCCAGGAGCAGGAACTGCTGCCCTCGGGTTGGCAACTGCAACTAAAACCGCTCCATTAATTTATAATTGGAAGCGGTAAACACCGAGTGGGCTCATCGCCAATTAGGATCGCGAATCAGGCAGGACTCCTACTCGGCAGGAGCCTGTGAGCCTGATTTACAATTCTGTGCCTGGGCTGTGTTTGCATAAACAATGCCATTCCCCTTTCTCCTTACCACCCCTCCACACACACACACACACACACACAGCCCATTGTTCTCGCTCAATTTTTGAAACATTCAGACGATTACCAAATTGGAAAATGTTACAAATTTTTGCAGATTAACAGCGGCAATAAAGAGCCCAGAGCCCAGAGCCCAGAGCCAGTGTCTGTGTTTGTGCGGCAATCAAATTTAGAACTCCAGACCCGCACTTTCATGTCCTGCAAGCCACCATGACTCCTGTGTCCTCGCAGACACACACACATACACATACATAAGCGCACGCACACAAACACTTGTTGAAAAATCATAAAAATTTTATGTACTTAAAATTTTCATAAAGCTGCCAAACAATGCCCAACATCAACAGTAATATCAACAACAGCAGCAGCAGCAGCACACATACATCCTTCGTACACAAAACGAAACAAAAGCGAGTTTGCTTCACACAAAACAAAATGTTAAAAACTTGCCAACAAGTTTGGTCCTTGCAGGAAAAATACTTGTATATATATCCTGACAAGCGGGCAGTCAAATTTATTTAAATGCAATTTTTTGTGGCATTTTTTCTGTTTTGTTTGGATCCTGACTCTCTCCCTCTTTGGTTGAGGAATTTCAGACAAGATTTAGAGCTATAAATTGAACATAAAATCGGCAAGAAATCGTTACAAGTGGTAAACTGAAAAAATAAACATAAACAAAGTGCAATCAAAGTTGAACGGAGAATGCTTTTGCTTTTATATAGAACCATCATCAGAAACAAGTTGTTATTGGGGAAATAAATGTTTTCTAAAATGATGAAGCCATCTTTGATAGTAAAATCTTGGATTATTTTGTAGCTAATTTAGTTTAAGTTACTTTAAATAAAGAGTAGAGAGGAAGTAATTTAAATTTAAAGTAATTCTTGGAGTTCTAAGTCATAGTTTCTTCAAGTGCATTGCCCACTAATTAAATTCACAACTTGTTGTTAAACCTGTAAATACAATACGAGCAAATAAAATATCAATATCTTAGCATTATTCGCCAAGTTAAACAATTTCAAAGGAATGAATACTTCGAACAGGCACAATGAGTACTCACAATGAGAGACGCAAGCCTTTCGCATTAAAAATGGCTACATTTTATGGTCCTAATTTACTGCTAATTATTTGTCTAGATGTTGGCAGCTCCGATATCGGTTGTAAATGGGTATTAACATGAACATTACTATAACTAGACGATGGCTAACTGTTGCCAAAGGAATTTTAGCAAAAATTAAGGTAGTGAGGTGTTCCTTAAGGCTAATTCTTTGTCGCCGAAAGGCACGAAATGGGGAGTATGGGTTCCCAAACTTGGGGATATGAGTGTGGGTATGAGTATGGCTATGAGTATAGCTCTGAGTGTGGGTATGAGTGCGACTATCGTGCATTCATCGCATAAATCTCAAGCGGATGGTGCGTGCGTGCCGATAACGAACTAAGTGCAAGTTCCATTCGCTAATTGTTGGCCATGTTTTTGCTGACAATTCGCTTTTGGTCAAATAATTCATGCAAAACTCACAGAATTGTCACGCAAAAGAGAGCTCGAGACGAGGGAGGGACGACTATGGTGATGATGATGACGATGGGACGCTGCTAATTAATTAATTAGCCCCTCCAGCGGGGCGTGGCCAGTGAGCGGTTTCGTGATTTATGATAAGAACGCAGCCGCCTCGCGCTTCCTTTGTAATAATTTTTGCGATTTTCCCAACCAAACACGCAAAAGTGACATTTTTATTGTTGGCGTTTTGCATGTTGCGAGGAGAAGGGGGCTCCAAGGACTCCGGGCGCGGCGCTGTATCATCATTAGGCCAACTCATTTTGTATCCTGCGCAGCGTGGGACGCGTGCATCATGTTGCAGACAGAGCCTTAAGGTGGTGGCCCATGTTGACGATGCTAATTAGCCTCCGCTCTGTCATTGTCCTCGGTTACAGCATCTGAATGGTGCGGTGTCCGGGTTCGGGTACGGGTACGAGTACGGGTGTACCCAGCTGGCTAACCGAAGGACATTCTGTTGTCCTGCCACCGAAAATTGCTAAAAGTTTTGCTGCTGTGCGAGCATATAACAAATGATCAGCGGAATGAGGAATTTTATTTCGATTTTTTGCCCAACAATTCCGATTCGATCTTGGTCTTGTTTTTAACTTGGATTTACAGAAATGGCTGCATTTTGTGTGCTCTAAAGTAAGAGGAAAAACGAGCTAAAACAATCCATTTGAACTGGCTTTAAAAAGTATTCGTTTTAAGCCCAAAGAAGGACATTTAATTAAATTCAAATTTTAAAGTTATGGCATACAGCTTTCTATTTTCTATTGTAGTTCAATTTTATTGATAAACTTGTGGCCTTTATTTTTGTTTTAAAACTTTTCACAAAAGCCTAGGCCTTCGGGACATTTCCGCTCAATTTATTGTTTGCCTTCTATAGTACTCTTTTTAATGTATATGAAACATGAATAGAATATGAGCAGCAGAAAAATCATTAACATATAAGCTACAAAACTATTTTGACTAAAAATAAACCAAAATAATAACTTTAAAACGATTTTACTGAGACATTTAATTAAGTTGTTTACTATTTTCACCAAGGTCTTTTTAACTATTGTTTAACTTGGCTAAAAAGTGCTATTAATTGTATAATATAACTTATCTCCAGTCTGGGTGAAGTTCCTTTGCTTATCACGCTCCCATGCTCCCATGCGCCCAGCTAGTGCCCATCTCTGTCCATTCCATAATCTGCCAGTCAGCAGTTTTTAGCTGTCTCTAATTCTGCCCTGTCAGTTGTCCCATTTTCGAAGTTTGAACCGATAACTCGCAGCAAGCTCTTTTGTGTATTCGTCGGGGGGGGGGAGAGGTATCATCATCAATCGCAGTGTCTGGTGAAGTTTTTTTTTTTTTTTTTTGCCCCCCCCTGCAAGCAAACAAAACCACCTGACACTGCCGCCACACACATTTCTTTCATTCAAGAGTGGCTCCGTTGTAGTCTTTAAAATATTTTCAGAGCTGTGTGCCCAAAAATATATACAACAAAACAAAACAAAACAAATGGGGCGCAGAAACATCAAGGGAACGGAACGAGGCACGCACAACAATCTGTAAGGGTGTGCTGCTGTGTGTATCTGTGAAGGGAAAAATAAACAAAAGCTCTGCTCCGGCTATTGTTTGCTTAGGCCCACACACACACACACCCAAGACACATCCCCCCCTCGCCAGAGCCTGGAAAATTCATAATTCTGTGAACCACACTGCGTATACGTAATAATGTCTACGCTTGAAACGCGCTACAAGAAAATTGTATGAATAATAATAATAACAACCAAAGAAGAAGAAAAAAATTGGCCTTCCAACTGAAACGAAATGAAATTAGACAAAAGTCCTGATGACTTTGTGGTGGCCAAAACCACAGCCGCTAACAATTTGTCAATTGAGGCGCATCCAGGCGCTGGCATCTCCTTCCGCCCGACTGCCCCTCAATGTGAAAATGCCAAGTCAATTTTCATAGACATTTTACTGCAGTCCATCATTCAGCCCCGCCCCATTCATTCCCAGTCGCAGTTCTCTTAACGCCTCTCCCTGGTTGCCTTATACCCAATCTCATTGCCATTTTCCTGTCTCCCCGCGTCTCGGCAGCATCCCTTTGGCAAGGTCCTTTAAAGAGTCTTTTGGAGTCCATCTGGCTGGAATAAACACATTTACTGCCCCTTCAGGTCTTGCTCCAGCTCTCTCTCTCTCTGACTCTTCTAATTGAGGCCGCATTGAAGACGCCTTTTTACGGTGAGGGGAGGGTTTGGGTGTGGGGAAAAAAGGACTAAACTAGCAATCGCTGGTTGTGGCCAGGACGGTCAGGTGCTCCTGCTCTGGCTCCTGCTGCTGCTCGTGCTCCTCTACTTCTACCTCTGCAGGAGCAGATAGCTTGGCTAGCTCCTCTTCAGCCATAGGGAGTTCCGGATCCACTGCTTGCTTCTTTTGCTTCGGCTTTTGTTCCTGCTTCTGCTCTTGATCCTTATCCTTATCCCTTTCCTGTTCCAGCAATTGCTTACGATTTTGCTCGGCCTTCTGCTTCAGCTTCAACTTCATCTTTAGCTTCAGTTTCTGTCGCTGCTTTTGTTCCTCCTGCGACACCTTCTCCTGACCCTTAATACGGTGCGTTTGCTGTTCCTTCCTTTTGGACAAATTGCGATGCTTTAGCTTGACCAAGCTGGCCTTGGCTGTGGCCACCTGTGCCACCTGCAACTCCTGCGGTGGTTCGGTGGCCGCATATGCATTCAGCCAGAGCAGCCCGGCCAGAGCGGTCATCAGACCGCGCATGAAAGTCTTCTCCAAATACTGATATAGCTCTGGATTCTCATCGCCATAGGTGCGGAGGGCCAATAAAAGACATTTATAAATGATATGCTCAACACGCCACCAGAGCCATTGACCCAGCACCTCCATAAAGACAATGCCCAGGATTAGTTCCACAAGGAAACCAAAAACCAAGCCCATTCGGCGGCGATAGCGAGTTGGCAGCAATTCCTGGTCATAGAGAAAATGCAGGATGGCACAATAGGCAATATGCCGGGCGAAAAGGGTATCCGGCAGCATTGGTAATTGCTCAATGTTTAGGAAACAGCTGCGGCGCAAACCAAAGTGAAGAACACTGGCGATGATCAGTACCCAGGCGGATGTCATGCTGGCTTTTTTGGATACTCTAATTTGTCGACGAAATTTTGTATGATTTTTTTTTCTTTTTCAAATTTTGTATGATTTTTTTTTTTTGATTTACTTTTAGCCAGAATTTATGAGACCGAAATAGATGTGATGTTGTTCAACTGATGACTTACAGTGTTATGGATTTTCACCTGAAAACGGTGGCAGTCAGTTTTGAGTGTTGAGAGTTTGGAAGGAAAAGACTAGGCCTACGTTAAGGTGGAAATATATCTATATAGAAATAAAATATGCCATTTCTCTGACAACATTCTCGCCTGAAGTTAGTACTAAACTTATAAGAGATATATAATTAATTAAATGATAGTTCTTTCTGCCTTTTGCAATTATCAAACTCAATGACTTAAGAAGCTTTTCTCAAAATCCTTGAATACAAAAATATTCCATAAATCGGCTAAAAGCTGAGACGCCTTTTGGGCTAATACTTTGCTAAGCCATATTTCCAATTAATTGTAATTCAGGCTGACTGGCGCAGACAATTTGCATGCATTTTTCAGTAGGAAGGGCCAAAGTCATTAGGTTACCACCCAATATATACTCTGCCCAGTTTGACCCAAGCCTAATCCCTTGTCACGCCCATTTATGTCCATAAATTATGCAGTCAACCTCTGATGCTCATTGACCCAAAGGCAAAACCCTCTCTCTCCCTCTTTCCTTTTTTGGATGTTGAAATGTGTTATTTCTTTGCCTTTTTTTTTTCTTGGGCTGGGAAAACCGTTTGATCCCTTCCGGCTTAGCTGGGGACTAAAAGTAGAGCACGACGAAAATAAAATTAAAAAAAAAGAGAAAGAAAAACAGACTGACAGCGGGCAGAACGTGGACAAGTCAACGCCAGAGACAACTTTAAATTTATTACAAAAAAAGGAGCCGAAACCAAGGCAAAGACAAAATTATTTATTTGCCTTTAATGTTGGTTCCTTCTCTCGTTGAAGCAATCAGTAGAGCAGTAGGGGAATCCCCCAAAATAATAGTCAAGGCAGCATAAAGCAAAAAGTTTATTTATTCGATATGCAAGGGATGCTATGTTGATCGCCTTTTTATACTTTATTTTTATATATGTATGTATATTGAGGACTTTGATTAGAAGGACATCCAGCCGAGTGAGCTTCTTGGAGAAGTTGGTCCATTTCCTCCTTTCCCACATCGAAGCACGTACAATGGAAGTTGGAAATGGAGCAGCCACGACCTCTAACCCCTAACACACACACACGCAGAGTTTTTGGCACTATTTGCTTATGTAGATTTGGCCAACATTTCGCATTTATTTTGGCCCGAGCAAGTCAAGCTAAAAGCCAAACATTGGGAGTCCTTAAATGTTGGTAGGAAGCAAGGGGTTTGAAGTTTGGAATTCGGTTTGATATGAAATATGAGATATGCGAGGACCCCTTCTTTGTCTCTTCGTTCGCTCTTTTTTTTTTTGTCCTTTTTCCGTATATATGTATATATTTATGTTAAATTCATGATATTTAAATTAGTTAGCCAACAGTTTGCCCAGGGTCCCTTGGGCGGTTTGCCAGGGGAGTAAGGGTAAGGGGAGCCCTGACCTTGCTGCCTGCCTGCCTGCAGTGCGGCCAAACATTCAATTATGAGGCCTGGCAAACAGCTCGAATCTCAGTTTGGCTTTAGCTCATCTGACATTAGCATTTCAAATGCCAGTCAGGACCAGAAGGGGCTGCCAGGGATCGAGAAGGAGCAGGAGATGGAGCAGGAGCTGAAGCAAGAGGATCCCGGATCTGGGATCTCTCAAACTTTTACCATTTTGCCTGCGAGCGGTGAACGACAAACGACAAAGGGCATTGGCAAACAGGAAAATTTTTCGGGGTGAAAGTCAGAGAGAGTGAAAGAGTGGGGAAAATCGGGGGAAAAGCAGGGAAAACTTTGCTCTGCCATCATATATCTTTCCATAGTGTGTGTGCGTGTGTGTGTGTGTGCTGCATACATTATCTCTCCCCTTCTCTGTCGCACTGGTCAAGTTAATGAGTTTTCCTGTGGCTTTTCCACTTTTGTTCCTAGCTCTCGGTGCGAGTGTGTGTAGACTTTTGCCATTTGACAGATCAAAGACCAACTAATACACAAGCAAACAACACTTATACACGCACACTTATACACACACACACACACACACCCTCAGATCGGATGCCTCAACGGAAATTGATATTTAATTAAAGTTCTCGGCTTTTGTCATTGGCTTTTCTTTGTCTTTCATTCGAATTTCTCCCTCCCCCCAAAAAAGCAAATTGAAATTGCATAATGTGAAATTGATGGCCAGGGTTTTAAGTGTATATAGAAGAAATATGGATACAGATATATATATATATATATATATAGTGAGCATATATAGTGCCTTCTTTTAGCAGAAAATAAAGAAAGTTCAACTTTTGATTTGAACTGGTTTTGGTTCTAAATCAAATAAAAATTTATATTTAAACAGCTTTCCCGGATGTTAAAAAACCTAAACTCCCTATAAACTATAAAGATACTTATACCTAAACCTTATCAGTAACACTTGATACTTCAATTCATTGAATATATATTCAAAAAAGCTCTGAAAATAGACCAATTTAAGGATACATTTCTGTGAGAAGTAGTCTGCAGCTCCATCACGTACTCCCTCTATATATAGATATATATCTCCCCCCAAACCTTCCATATATTGGGAGTTTCCCAAGCCAGGACCCTAGGACCGGCTATCCTGGGAGTTGGAGACAAACTTTATGGCTTTTTATCTACGCTCAAGTTTCGGGGGCAAGCCCAAAAAAAGAAAACAGTCGAAGCGTCGAACCTGTGCCGCCTCGGAAAAGCCATTTCCTTTGCCGCCACCGACACGCCGACACACTGCCACCCATAACATCCCTCATCAGCTGACAGTTTGGGCTTGAATTTGAGTTTTTAAACAGGCCTCACGGCCAAATGCATAAATATTTTCCACAGCCCCGCCCATTTTTCGTTGTTTGCCGTGTTTTTCAACTCCTCCCGGAGCTCCTCCTTTCCTGGCAGCCGCGTGAAAAGCTGAAACACGAACATTTTTTCATATAAATTTTGTTTTTTTTGGGAGGCTGGCCATGTTTGCCGGCTACATTTGCATATTTGCAGCGAGGCCAAAAGCAGCGCAACGCTAAAGTGTCATAAAAATTCTACAGCCGAATGAGATGAAGTCAAAAAACATCTAAAAAAAACAAGAAGAGTGAGAGTCCAGTCTGGACAGATAAATATATAGGCAATAAAAATGTTATACAGCAGCCAAATGCTGTGACAACAGACGATGGACCAGTCAGGAAAACTTGAAAAAAGTTTCGTTTTCGAAATGATTAAAGACCGACTTTTGGGGATATACATTTTGATGGCAAATATCCCAGACCTAAGCCAATGAAATTATTCAAAAACGTAACTGAATGTTGTGGGGATGATAGGGATCTGGGGGGATTCAAACAGATGAAATTTAAAATTCTTGAGGGAATTAGGGGAGTATATACTATATATAACATTTTAAAAGTGTTGAATTTTAATGCAAAGAAAAACTGAAAAAAAAACCCTGGCTTAAAAACCAACACAGACTCTGCAACTGTTTTATTTTTTGCAGTGATTCCCGAAAACTCCCAGCTATGTTACATCCGCTGGTCAAATGTTTATTTACGAAATGGAAATCCATGATATATAAGCATCCTGGTTTTGGGTCTCGTCCACGATTTCACGATTTCCAATTCTCTCATGTTTTGTTTAATCATTTTTTTCAAACGCATTCATGGACTAGATGACGACGTGTCTGGGTATTTGCCGCTTTTCCGGGATTTTTGCATAATGAAATTGGGACACGGGGCACACAAAGTGAGCTGTGCTATGCCGGCGCATCATCGAGTTACAAATTCGTTTACGTTCGCTTTCCCTTTATCGTTCACAAAGTGCCGAAGCATTGAGCAAAACAACAACATTTCCTCCTAGGTTTTTCCTCACTTATTTGTTTCGTTTTCGTTTTCGCTTTCCTTTTTTTTATTTTATTTTTTTTTGTTTTTTCGCTTTTGGGGTTTTGTTTTTCGTGGCAGATTGCGTCAGATATTAAATTTATTTACGCGAAATTCGCACTTCGGGCGCTCTCATATTGCTGGAAACAGCATCCTAGCAGCAGGGAATACGGGTCCTGTACTCGTATCCTTGTTCGGTTCCTAGATACCCTAGTGCCTAGTGAATAACCAAAACAGGAAATGGCTTGTTCTGGGGAATCGCTCCAATGACAGCCACATGATATAGAACCAAAGTTTGTCTTCCAGGAAGTTTTCCCCTCAAGCGCCCCACCCAAAAAACCTGAAAGCCATAAAAATAAAGTCGGGAAGCTGCCTTTGATAGAATCTGACATAATGAGTAAACATTATAAGCAGCGGCAAGAGCATGCACGAGTGGATATGGATTCCCCATTAAGGTTAATTAAATATTTCGCCATTGGACCCAAGAGGTCCAACTTTGTCTAGGTTTTACAGATTCTCAACATGGTCACAGACAAAAATAGAGTTAATTAATCGTTTTTAGGGATATTTACCAACCATGTTTTGTACAAAATTACTGTGTAACTTCAGAGATCTTTGAGGAATAATATATATAATATTATAAAGTAAAATTCTCTCTCTAGAACCTTTAGTAAATGGTGTTTCATTGGTTAACAAAATACCCTCTAAAAACAAAAGCCTTAAGGTTTAATTTTCTGTACAAATATTTAACCTTTTCATGGGCACTTTCCTGCTTCAAGTGGCGAGAAGAGTACCTAAAATGTTCCTAGTAAGTTCTACCTTGCAGTCAGAGAACCCCTACAAAGTGCATTTACACACAAAAAACCGAAACAAATGCTGGCAAAAGGGTTGAAAGCCTTCTGTTTCCGTTTATTATTTTTGGGGGGATTTTTATTTATTTTTTTCTGTGAGGTTTTTCCGGCTCCATGTAACGCCTTGTTGGTGTTGTTTTGTCGTGGATTACCAACTCAAAAATGCAACCATTTGCATGTGTTTTTTTTGTGGGGGAGAGGAAAGTTTTGGAAGTTGCCCGCATCCTGGCATTCTGTTATCCTGGCCTCTCGGCAGGAGGGCTTACGTTGCAATTAAGTCCTGAAACAAAAGGCTCCACCTGATTGGCCCTGATCCAACTTGTTAGCTACTGATGCTGATGAGGAGGCATTATGACCATGAAAGAGGGGTTAGCCAATGAGCCAATGTTGCCAGTGATCCTTGAGGATTAACCCTTAACGAAAGCAGATGAAGAGGAACTAGTGAAGATATTACAGGAGATGGGATCTATTAAAGTACACAATTTTCAAGCAGAGAGAAAGTCCCATTATTGTAACATATATAAGGACAGTAATGGGCATGCAAAATTTAACCATGCTCCAGGGCAAATTAAACTGTTGCCTAACAGGCCACCGAGTTTCCAATTTAAATGTTTTCCCATTGCCTGTCTTAATTTATGCCCGCCGTAGGCTTGAAATACATATATTTTTGAATACCTATTAAACACGGAAAGGCTGTAACTCTCTGGCCTGACATTCTGGCAGGACATGGGCATAAAACCCTAAGAACAAGTTGAGCTGGAAGTGACATGAGCGGCTTTAAGTCCGCCCCGTGTTCTCTGTTTCTCTGTCTCGTCTCGTCTCGTGGAAAATGGCTGTCAGAATTGCTTGCAATTTTTATGATGACGTCGTCGACGAATCTTTCCATCACTGAATACAATTTTCCATTTGTTGTTGCGCTATCCTTTGCAGGCCAAAACACATTGGGCATTACTCACCCGGAGCAAAACAGTGGACAGCAGACTCTGGATTCGGTTAGCAGTGAGACTCCAAGAGAACACCTCTGGACAGGGACAGCAGGACCACTGGTGAGCATTCTTTACTCTATTGTATATAGTATATAGTATCTGTGGGGAAAGAAACACACTTAGGTATTCAGGACTGTCTCAACTCGTTGCGTGGGTTAATTAAAATACAGAATACACTTTGACAAAATGCCATTTAATCTACTCAGCAGGAAGGGCAGAAAAAAAGCAGCCGGCAATTAATTATGCGCATATTTGTGGCCTCAAAATAAGCAAGAGAAAAAAAGGCTCATTGTGATTTGCATTTCGTCCCTTTCAGTCCGAGTGCCATTTATGACAGATTTCTGGGCGGAAGAACCAAACCCCCCCCCCGTGGGTGGCTATGGGCGTGGCCCTAAGTTAGGGGGTGGAACCATCTATTAATTACAACAACAATCTACTGCTAATCAGCCACCCTCATTTCTTGAAGAGTAAAAGGACGGAATTAAATTGTCTTCGGTGTTAAATGAGCCGCTGAAGTCGCATAATTTTCCAAATGCTGACTGTACTGGAAGTACGTTCTGGGGTCGAAAACAGGCTCAACTTTTAAGGGTGTCCCCTGTGGAAAACAATAGAAGGAGTCCAGCGAAATGGTAGAAAACAAAGTGTAAGGAGTTTGCCTTTTTAGTGCAACCACTTTGGACTATGAATATTCAAATATGAAGTTAAAAGTTGAAAGTAAATACAGGGATCCAGGGACCACAGGAACCAGTATCTAAATGATTAAACTCTCTATGTTAGTGCAAATTTAGTTAAAACTCATTCCCCCCAGAAACCCAATCTGTAATCAATCCCCTTGAAAATAAAACCCACTCAATTAACTGATGCCTTATTAATTCACAATTACGTCCAATGCTCGCTATATGTTATCCTTCGACATCAAATATTCATGTGGCGTTAATTGGGTCGCGGCCTTTATGGCAGATCGTATCGTGGCTTTTGCATTATTAAAACCGCAAGTTGAAGCAAACTAATCAACTAACAACTAATCAAACTTATGCAATTATCGCGGATGCTTGCCCAAACTTAATGCGCATTTATCCAACGAAATAGAACAAAAAACTTAATCGGTAGGGAATTAAGAATAAAACCACAGATCCAAACAAATTAAATTCGACAGCTTGCCATGAGGAAGTTGTGGAGGAGGATATATGTATGTATATCCTGTTTATTTCCATTCTGCTTCTCGTCCCTCCATGGAATTAAATTTGCACAAAAATCTCTAATTGCATTTTCGCATCCTCTGTCTCTGCCTCTGCCTCTGTTTGTTATTTGTTGTTGTTGTTTCTGCTGGCAAAAGGATAATGTTGTGCTCACTCTGGTCGCAAAATTTGAATTCCAGCTAGCCGAAGCAGATCAAGTGAGTTATTCACACATAATTGAAGATAAACAAGCCGCCTGATGGATGAGTCTTTGCTGCAAGAGTGTATGTAGCAACCCGACTGTGAAACCATCCATCAACTGACCAAAACCGACGGCATTCATTCAGCTCAATCAGTTCTCTGTTTTCAACTCATTTAGGAAATGTGTGTGAGCCAAGTGGAAATAACATAAATATACTATATGAACAATATAAGCTGCGAGATCACTTTTAAATTAAAATTAAGTAATGAGCTTCAATGGTAATATAGGGTATTAATTGGGGAGAATAAACGCATTGATAGCATAGCTCATTCTAGACATAGGTCTGATCCCAACTATAGCATCTATATACATGATATAATTGTCATGATTAAGACTTACTCCAGTGTAGGACACGTCATTGTTTACTTCCTTCCATATAATAATATAATTGTCATGATTAAGACTTACCCCAGTGGATGACACGTCATTGTTTACTTCCTTCCATATAATAATATAATTGTCATAATTAAGACTTACCTCAGTTTAGGACACGTCATTGTTTACTTCCTTCCGGTGTAGACTTCGAATCTTGTTGACTTCAATTAGGATAATCATGGTATTGAAGATCACTTCCTGGTTGTCCAGATGTATTCCATTGGCCACGTCATTCTTTTAAGGTCGAATGGTAATCACTATCACTATCACTACCGATGTTAACACTAGGTACCCCTAGGACAGACTGAGGTCGCGGCGATCGAAGTGCCTCTATTTATAGTTCCCGAGTCGAGAGAACAGAGAAAGTGAGAGCGAGAGAGTAAGAGATAGGCAGAGAAACATACAGAGAAAGAGTTAGCTCTGGAGATGCACAGTGGGAGTTTTAGCTACCGGATAAAAAGAGGCAGAGAGAGTAAGAGAGAGGGAGAAAGGGAGAGAGCTGCTGATGCTGATCAAGAATTTATAGATATTTATAGATGAGCAGAGAAAGTTAGAGGGAAAGTGATATCTAGATATAGAGACACAAAGAAAGGAAGTGAGGGAGAGAAGCCTCTTCACCGCCATTAAAATATTTTATTATTACAAAAATGGAAGCTAGCAGCGGCATACAAATACTACTCCAGAAAATATATTATTTATATAATAAGTTATTAAAAACTTTATTTAGAGCTTCCTAGAAGAACAACTTAAACAGGCATCTATACTCTTTAAGTATTATCCATCTTTAAAGACTTCAATTTTATTTTTATTCCCCATTCTTCTGCTTCTTGTGAATTTTGAGAAAAATGCCGAGCATTAGTGAAACAACCGGCTTACAATAGTGCCACAACAATTGAAAGCCGGAGTAGAAGCTTCCGTTGGATTTCCCTCGAAATGCAAAATAAAAGTCAGTACAGATTCGATGGGGAGGTAAAAGAAATAAAAATAATACCAAAAAATGAAAGCAAAAAAATAAAGCGCGAAATTAATATTTGAGTACATTCGCGGCCCTCGCCGCGGCAATAATAATAATAATAACTCACACAAATAAATATTGAAATGGGAAAAAATCGCTGGCCATATCAATGCTACCGCTGGCCGCCAGAGGGGGTACTGGTGGTATCGGTGGCATTGGTTCTGAGTGCGCCAAAATGAAAAGAGAGCAAGGAAATAAACAAAAGCCAAAATGAAATGAACTGTAATCAATTCCCGAGTTCGAGAAGCGGACGCAAGGCAGCAAGGACGCAACGATGGCGGTGGAACGATAATATCCGAAGCAATTTATGGTAAGGTCCTTCCGCCTTGAACGGTCAAGCCAATTATTAACATTTTCGCTTTGGGAAAAAAACAAGTCAAAAATATATGCTCTGTGTGTGTGTGTGTGTATAAATAAAATAAAAGTTGACCCGAACCGCAAAGGTAAAAAGAGAAAATGTTAAACTAACCGAGAGAATATTCGTATATATACTATATACTATATGTATATATGTACAACATTTCCCTTTGACCAGCCTGCTGCTGTTAGCACACTTGTGCTCCTCAATTCTTCTTGCTGCCTTCGCCACACTGTGTTCTTTTTTATTCTTCTCAGCTTTATATTTTTTTTATTTTTTAATTTTTAATGCCTTTTTGGGAAAAGTTTGCCGGAATTTTTTTTTATTTTTTGCTTTTTAACGATTCAACTTTTGTTGGCTTTGGCTTGGCGTGGCCGATTTTCTTTTTAATTTGGCATGGCCAGTGAAATTTATGAAATCTCGCACAGTTGCCGATAACAGTCGAGTGCGCTGGTTTTTGCCCATGCCTGCCGGTGGGTTTGCTCGCCTGGGCAGGGGAATAGGAATGAGTGGGGGCATGGGTATGGTCAAGGGAATGGGTAGGGGAATAGGCAGGGGAATGGGCAGGGGAATGAGCATGGAGCATCGGAATCAGTATCAAAATCAGAGGGAAATGCCTGACCAAAAATATCTTGCGGTCTTTCTATGGTTCTCTTGGCCAGCTCATAGCCTTGCATTTCTATGCACCAAACTGGTAATTAATTTCCAGTGGCAAACACTGGCCGAAAAAGGGGTTCGATTTTTTTTGGTGATATAATAATTTTATAAATAAATAATATAGAAATGAGCAATGTTTATCAGAATTCATAACAACTGTAGAAATTACAAGAGGAATAACAACGACAGTGGGAAATATTATACTCTCAGTCACAAAATAATGTTTATAAAATATATAAATCAAAAAAAGTAATCGGAGATGTATATCTTGAAAATATTAATTAATAAACATAATATCATATTAATTAATATCAAATAATATATCTTATAATATATGGCACTCCTATGATATATTATATTTTACCCCCTTTTTTTCGTCAAGTGTTTGCACACACACTCACAGTGAATATATACCGAGAAAGGGAGCTGCTGATGAGGACAAGGGGGTTTCATTGGGGGATGTAACTGAAAATGGAGGCTACACCTCACTCTTCCCTGGTTCAGTCTCCTGCCTCGCTTTCACCCGGTTATTCCCGGCACATGCAGCAGCGCACTTTATCAATTTTATGTCGACTATAATTGCATTAAATTGAGTTGCTGCGAGCTGCTGCGAGCTGCTGGTCCTGGTCCTGGTCCTGGTCCTCATCCAGGACTCTGGCTCTGGGCTGCACGATGAACGATAGGAACGCTGTGTGCATATATTTACATGGCCATATTAAAAAGTTGCCTGCAAATGAAGTTATTGTTTAAAAAAAAAACCGGTAGCCGTGATAAGCCGAAGATGTATCCAGTAAGTGGCTGGCATGGCATTAAAGACTGGCTTAAAGAACGCGTTTGCTGGCCAAGAGGTGTGGCCCAGGACTTGGCCAGGAAATGAAATTATCGATTGCGCAGAGACGGAGACCATGCCATGTGAGAGACGGGACAAGTGGCCCGGGGAATGCAGAGACAGGCACATGACACCGCATGAAAATCTGACAACAGACGAGGAAATAAGAAATTGAAAGCCTCGACTTGCTTGAACACCTCCCCAGAGAGAGAGAGAGAGAGACAAGGTCCTGGTCCTGGTTCTGATCCTTAACTGGTTCGTTGCGAAGGCGTGGCACACACACACATCAAATGACAAACGAGTTGCCGCTTGCATTATTGAATTAAACGCAGCACAAGGATATGTGTGTGTGCCGTGTATCTTTATCTCACAGTGCACGCATCTTA